CCCCAAAACCCCAAAACCCCAAAACCCCAAAACCCCATAAAATAAAGATAGTATTGAGCTATTATATCTAAATTGTGAAATAAAAATGGCATCTCCTCAGGGTGGTAATACAGAGAAGAAAAGAGATCAAAATCATTTAGATGCATTCATATCCACAGATCTGACTCACCCAGAACTTTCTGGGCTATCTCCAAGGGTAAGATTATTTAGCAACCATTTTGGCAATTATTATAGGCACTTATTGAACAGGAAGTTAGAGATCAGATGGCTTATGACTTAAAAGAACTTTTTGATAGGTATTTGTCTTATAAACATCCCACATCTTTAGACCTCCTGTCATAAATGAGTATAATATTGGGATATCAAATGGTGACTGATGGTAAGACTGATTTTGATCGGCTCAAATTTCTGGAAGATCAGTCTTCTACGAATATATGTGTTTCTAAATCTCCAGATTTATTACTCATCACTTTCTAGGGGGAAATTAGCAAACACTGTCTTATCAGATCACAAGAATTTGTGCAAATATCTTGGCGAAAGATGTGAGGTATGTCTACTTTTGTACTAATATAATTTTCTTTCATATGTGTCATCCAATCCTAATATATCTACAGAGATGTAAATAAAATTGGTATGCTATGAAATAATTTTCAGACCAACAAGAGAAGGAAAAAGCTCAGAAATTGAACAATAAGTAAACTGTTAGATCCAATGATTTGACCATTCCGATATCCATAAAAGATATTTTTCTTTAACAAATTTCAATCTGTTATCATCTTTTCAGGCTAGCAAACCAGGATAAGTACAGGAGATCAAAGGCACTGAGGAATCTGAAAGGGAAGGAGAGCAAGTTTTCAAACTCTTTGCCCAGAAAGTCAATAACTATTAAGCATAACCACATTAAGATGCTAGCTCCAGAGATTAAGGAGCAACTTGAGCAGCTGAAGAAGTAACCTTTGTGTTTACTTGTAGGAAAAATAATAAGAAGCAGCTATCAGAAGAAAGAAATTCAATTTGTAGATCTCGGCAGAATCCAAAGTTATCTAGACAATCTATTTCAACTTCCTTGCCGGATGTGAAGAAAGGAGACAACGACTTATTGCCTGAGAGAAGGAATAGTATCAGAAAGAAGCCAACTTTTAGGAATTCCACTGGGCATGGAGATTGGAATTTTAACACCATCAAAGAAGTATCAAGTCCTGTAAAGTCTCCAGATCGCTTAGACTCAATGCATACTACATACAAAAGTAAGGATATGTCAAAGCAAAAACCAAAGCGCAGAGCCTCAAAGCTTAAAAAGATTGCGTCAAAGCATACCCAGAACAAAGCAAAGGATGCAGAACAGAAGATAAATGACTTCCTTCAAAGTAATTTCTCTTAATAAAATCTAGAAATTGAGGCAACGTAGGAAATTCTAATAAATTTTAGCAAGAAGAAGCCTCCAATTTTAGGCTACAAAGTCACAAAGCACTCAAGGAACAAATTCATTTTCAAAGGTTCTTCAACAGATGTTTTGAAAAGGCAAACTGGCACTAACAAGCAGGAGAAAATGGCTCAGGATGGCCTCATACAGAAAATGAAAGAATTTAAGAAATTATCCAATCTCTCTCCTGAACCTTACAGGCTTAAGAACGCTCCAAAGGCAAAAGCCTCTGGTTATGGGGACATGAACCCTAAAACTTTGAAGGAAGTTTTGTTTACTATCAAGAATGATATCGAAAGCAAGATTAAGGATATCCAGACTAAAGAGATAGGTACTGTCACTGATCCCACACGTTTAGAGAAGCCTTTGTTTGATACTGAAAAGTTCTTTAAGAATCAAGGAAAATATAAGCTCAAAAGTTTCTCCCCAAAGAGAAAAGGCTTTAATAAGAAAGGATTGAAGACCTCTCGTAATCAGGATGAGAAGAAAATCAAATTTCTGATGAACACCTTCTCACCAAAGGTAAGTTATTTATGAGATGTTATAGAAATTATCACTTTCACAGATGAAGCAAGGGAAAACTTGTCTAGGTATTGTTTGTCTAATCTCCAGATCGTGGAAAGAAATCATTGAAGCCTGCCGAAAGGGATAACAGTCTTGTTCTACCTGCAATTCAGAGTCCTAGAAGTGCCCATTCAGAATGCTAAATTGTGAATTCATTGATAAATTTATGCAATTACAAACATTTTCAATCAAAAGATAAATAAAAGGGGTTTTGGGGTTTTGGGGTTTTGGGGTTTTGGGG